AAGTGCTCTCCCATCAGGGCTGTTCATGTCTGGACTGTAGCCTAGTCTAAGGAATCACTCAGCTCATAAATACAAGGTCATGGAGACCAAGTTTCCACATAAGTAAAAGTCAGTTTGCTTTCGTTTGATCCAATTGCACAGATCAAGGAATAACTGCCAGATAACAAACAAACAAATAAACAAAAAAACTGCAGAGAGCCAACACACCTGAACTTTTCTTCAAGTTCTGAGAAGTACCTTCAAATTGACACAGAATTGAAAAGAGCCTTTTAAAATGTCAATTTACCAATCATTAATAAAAATCAGCTAATAATGTTTGGGGAGCCAGATCAATGGGTCAATTGCTTGCTGCTCAATCCTAACAACAGGAGTTCAGATCCCTAGAACCCACAAAAGCCAGGTAAGACTGTGTGTCTGAAATCCCAGCACTCCTACTGTGTTGTGGTGGAGGTGGGAATAGGAAACTCCCAGGATCTCCTACTGTGTGGTGAGAGGTAGGAATAAGAGACTCCCAGCACTCCTACTGTGTGGCTGGAAGTGAGAACAGGAGAATCCCAAGGGTTCGTACTGTGTGAGTACTGGGCTCCTACTGTGTGAAGGGGGAACAAAAGACCTCCAGAAACTCCTGAGTCAGAAAGCCTGGCACAGTGGTAAACAGGAAACCTTGTTGCAAACATGGTAAAAGGTGAGGGTTTACATCTGATGTTGTTCTCTGATCTCTACACACTCACTGTGGCATGGGTTTCACACACACACACACACAAATAAAATTAATTATTTCATTTTTAGGAATCACCTTACATAAATTCAGATAAGTATGATGATATGGAAATACCCACGGAGACATTTATTATAACAGATAATTAAAAAGAAGCTCAATATCCACCAATAGGGAATTGTTTCCTTATACTTTGGTATAGCCATACTGTAAAACATCTCACCACTTAAAAACAAAAAACACAAAACCCTAAAATGGAAAAATGTGAAGCTAAACCAAAACTGGTGCTATCAAAACTGCCAATCATGCATAAGGTTGGTACCGTGAACCGGAAAGAAAACATACTGAGACAGATACGGTGAAAGGGAGGCGCGGCTGAGAAATACTGATAGCAATGTATTTAAAAGCTCAGGATAGACATTTTTCATTTTAAAGCACACAGGTATGGGTATAAACGAAAGCAGACAATGTAAAACTTCTGTTTACAAGGTCTGAAAGAGTTCACATAAAACTGGTTTGGGGGAAATGTTGTAAATCTAACACAGGAGTTAAAGGGTGGAAATTTTTACCATGTTCTGCTCTCACATTGTGCAATTCCTTTTTAAAGATTCTGTAAAGTTGCTTACACAAGTTGGCCCTGATCAGCAGAGTCATGCCTGGTTGCTTGCGATCTGTCACGCACTAAAGCCATTGCTTCAGGCTCTAGCTAGTATTTGGTCTCTGTATCCCCAGGACAAGAAAAGAGTTTTAGGGTTTGGGGTTTTGGAAACTAACATAAGCCTGCAAACAAAGCATATGAGGGATTGAATACTTGTGATTCCCAAACTGGAAAGGCAGCCCATGTCTTCTGACTACCAGGCCTGCCGAGAAGCAGAAGTCTCTGGAGGGGAGCTTAGAGGTTTGCTGATGTTCCTCATTCACCAATGAGGCAACAGAAGACAGGCAGATCGTGTGATTTTGCAGTGTGTAAAATGGGAATACCGGTCTGAGTTTGCTGCACGTGTCATTAACCATCTCAAACCAAAATGCTGACAAGGGTGAGGGCGACACAGTTTATGACTACTATGGGCAGCAGTAAGGATGGACTGCCCTGGGCTGAGTGGATGGCGACCCTCTTCTGCACCATCCTAAATTCCAAAGGAGTAGCTCTGTGAAGATCTCACTTCACCTCCTCCCACTGCAAGGCCTTGCAGTCCCTCTGCGCCCCTTTCAGAAGCCGCGTGAAGGAAAGCAGCTCCTCGTTATCCTACTAAGTAGTCGTCTTTTCATTTCTAATGATTGCTTTTACTATTTATTATGGGTATGTGTTAGTGTGCAATGAGTGTACGCTCAGGTGCGCTGTGCAGGACAGAAGGGGATGTTGGGTCCTCTGGGGCTGGGCCTAAAGTTGGTTGTAAACTGCCTGCCATTGGTACTAGAAATGAAACTTAGGTCCTCCATAAAGCAGCAAGTGCCCTTCACCTCCAAGGCCTCTCTCCAACTTGATTAACAATCATTGTCATCCTCTCGGCTCTTCAAAAGAAAGGAACCAATAACAAAGAACTGAATCTGCCCGGAAGAAATGGGACCAAAGCAGGGCTAAGCATGTCTCCAGCATGTTAATCCCAGAGCCATGAGATGACACGAAAGCCTGGTTCTGGCATGGCTGTTCTCCTCACAGGCCTTCCCCACGTAGAGGTGGGAATGGAGGACACCTAGTGAGGTTTGACTTTCACATGCGCACACAATAATTAAGATATTTATAATTTAAAAAGTCACGTTTATCTGGAATCCAAGTGTGCCTGGGAACCCTCTGTTATCTGATGGCTTTGGTACTGAACTCATTTCTGGTTTATGTTCCAGAAGTAGTCCATACACGCCAATGAGTATTCAGATGGGTTTTTACATGGTTTTTTAATCCTTGTACTGGCAGACCAGACCAGGGCAGCAAGGGAATGAGGAAATGACAGACAAATATTTACAGTCAGAAGCATACATAACAAGGAAAGCTAGGACTGGGTGGTCTGGGCACACTGAATGGGAAGCCACAGCACCCCAAATGCTCAGCATGTTCATGAGACACAATTGGATGGAGAGGCAAGGTTGTTGCATACAGCTGAACACGGAGGCAGGGTTACTATATACAGATAAACAAGAGGGTGAAGATATTATACACATACACAGCTGAGCAAAAGAAGCAAGTTCGGCGAAGCTCAGTAGGTGCAGTCTCTGTAGGGAGCAGGCTTTGGTCTGTAAATATCCTGGGGGAGAAAGATACTATGACACACTGCATTATTGACATTTGCTCTTGGACCCCCAAGGAAAGCCTGGCTGTCCCTCTGAGCTTCACCTCAGGGGAAAAGCTTTGCCGTTTTCCCATGGGTCTGTGGCTAGAGTCCTTGACATAGCCTGCTTATGTCAACAACACACACTCAGGAGTTCATACTCAGGGCTTCCCCCTTACACACACACACACACACACACACACACACACACACACAAGCAGTTCCAATCCCAACATTCACACAGCTGAGGCAGGAGGATAAGTTTTAAAACCAGCCTGGACAACAGACTACATAACAAGACACTTTTTGTACAATATCAAGAAAAACAAATAACAGATCTGTGCCAGTAGAAAAAAAAAATCCACAGAAGGACCTTACAGAAAGTGAAATGGAGCATTTCTTCAGCCATCTCTATCCAAGGCCCATAGGTACCACCTCCCACTGAACTCTCTCTTGTCTTCAGCTTCCCAACAGGAAATACATCCTTGCCCTTCATCAATTCAATTGACCGTCTTTCCCCAAGCCCCAACTCATCCACACTCCCTCTCCAGCCCTGGCCATGCTTCCTACTGTTCCCTAAGCCTTCCTGAACACCTAGACTTCTTGTAGGCTTCTCCTCAGCCTAAGCACACTCTGCTTATCTCACAAGTTTGTTGGATGGGCAAGTCAGCCACCACAGTTTCTCCAGTTTCTCCAGCCGCTCACCAGCCTGCCTTCTGATTATCATTATGACAGCCTGGCTGAACCAGCTCTTTATTTCCTCGTTTTCTGTTTTCTATCTCAAGATAGATGTTCCACGGACAGAGAACTAGATTGGCCTTGACAACCACTGATGTGCCCAGCTTCTAGAAGTTTTTCTAGTGCCTATGAACAACTGGAGGAAAATGCACAGATGGAATGAATTTCCTCCAGAAGCCTTTCCTGGCCATCCTTGACATCATAGTCCATTGTTCCTCTTCCAGATGCTCATGCAACCAATCCTTAAACTGAGATTCATAAGAAAGAGCAGAGCATGCCAGGGCAGTCCAAATGAATCTCAAAATAATACAGACCAGTCTTGTTGCCTTAGGTAGTTTCCAAGAGGTTGAAGGTAAACCCCCGTTGTTGAAAACAGCACACTCATAAGACTCAGATGATTACAGTTGGCTCTGGTGTGAAAGCCTCCTTCCTGAAGTCTAACCTCCACGGTTCTCCACGCAAAAGGAGAGAAGCGATAAATAGCCTGATCCAGCCACAACCCCTATGAACCCCAACAATGGGTATCATGGCAAGATATCTATAAAGGTGCAGTAAGCGGCGCTCACGTGTTGGTGGTTACCAACAGCTCTCTAATGGGACTTAGGACTCACTCAAAAGGAGGGAAACCATGCCTGGTATTAGAAGCCAAGCTTCCTGGGGCTGCTGAGATCACAGACTTCAAAACCAAATTTACTACTGCCGCTTTGCTATTAGTAGACTAGCATAATTCCTTACTGCACCCCAAATCTTATCCTCATACCCACAAATAAGTGCGGTTACCACCCCTCATTAAAAGGTTTTCTTTACAGTACATAAAGACCAGCACGAAAAACCACAACATGACAGAGTGTACAGACCAGCAGACGGTGGTGGGCCCAGCTCTAGGGAATACACACAGGTCAAATTCCTGCAACTATGGCCCAAGGAACATCCCTGAAGAGGGGTCAGAAAGTTTTAATAGCCGATATACAGGAAGTCTGCTGAGAAACGCTCTCCTCTAGAAATAACTGCATAAACAAGATTGTAACCATCATATCTGAATAGGAGGGGTAGCCTCCTAGAGATGTAAAATGCACAAAATACAGCATTTACTTTACGAAATTCCACTGTCAAAACAAAGGCGTGTTTGCATGTGCGTCAGATAGATAGAAAGATGAGAAGAGAGATGTTGGTAAACACGGTATTGCCAGTATTTAAATCTGGGCCCAGGGTTATATTACTTTTAATTTTTTCCACTTTTTTAATATCTCAAAGTTTTTATAATAATGACAATAACTTACTTGTAGCACCAAGAGTGAACTCTAACATAACCTGCGGACTTGGGGTGATGAGACTTGTCGGTGTTGGTTCAACAGGGGATCTCTGCTGACACAAGGTATTGATAGTAGCAGCAGCTGATGACGGGAGCAAGTAGGCACTTCTTTATTCTGTGAACTTAAAATTACCTTTTAAAAAAAAGTTATTTTGAAAATAAAATACATAATTAACTTAAAGGCAAGAAAAAAGTCTTGAGCACTGATGATCGTGTCAGGATGAGCAACTTGAGTGCACGGAGATCTGCTAACCCCCGTGATGATGTCATGACTCCTGATCAGCTCATTTGTTCTCCTGCCCAGGGGAGGCCTGTGCTCCTGGGAGAATGAGAGGACATTCTGGAACACTGAGCTGTGTTCTCAAGTACACGCCCAGCCCTCTAGTTGTATTCTTCCCTCCCCCACAACCCTCCTCCTGTCCTATGAAGTGGTCCAGATCAGTTATTAATCAGCCCCATGTCCGACAGAACTCTGATCATGCAAATACTTAGGGGGATTTCTTATGGATCTATAATCTCTCTTCTTTCTGTCTCTGTGTCTCTGCTGTTTGTCTGTCTGTATCTCTCTCTCTGTTTATGTGTGTGTTATAAGTCATGTAATATATGGATATAAACGGTCATATATGAATTAACTATCTATGCAGCCATATACTTGCTGTGTGACTCTACAGCACCCATAGAGTTGCCATTGATCGCTATTGTTGTCACCATAACTAAAGAACACTGACGAGTCAAAAGGAAGGGCTCAGGGCTGGCTGTTCTCAGTTGCTGGCTAGCTGCCTTTCACCCTTCTTGGGTCTCAATTCATTGTTTATAAAATCATAGTGCTGAGCTTGAAACACTCTGTCCCAAACCCAGGCATGCATCAGATTTTTAAGACTAAGGCTTCTAGGATCAGCTTTACTCTTCTAAGTACAGCAGGGATCAGGAGCCCTGGGATGTCTATGGGGAAGATCCTAACGTGTTAAACTTGGACACAGTCAACAAAAAATGAGTTTTGGCACTGCAGGATTACACATCTATTGCTGGCCTTTTCCTCACTTCTAACAGCAGCTAATTCAAAGGAATGAAAAGGGTGCTCAAAGGACTGCGATGCACAGAGATAGTTCACCTGCAACCTTGTGGACCTTATGTGAGGAAACACTGAATAGAGCCTGAAGCCATAGACAGAGTAGACATTGAGAGGCAGTCAGGAGGCTTGGCGGGAGGCTTCAGAGGAGATTCGGGAGCAATAGACTAGCATGGTGGCCTTTCTCTAAGATTTACAACACACCTGGTCTTTGGGTTGATGAAAAACACATCCTTTCCCTGGAAATTGATCTCAAAATTACCCAGTGGTGTTAATGTCAAACATGCAAGAGCAAGGGATTTTTCTGAAATTTACATGAAAATACAATCCATGATCAACACCTCTGAATGGTTATTCACAATAGGCATACTTCAAGATGATACTTCAATCAGGACTCAGAGATAGACTTCAAATGCTACTGTCATTCTATTCAAGGAAGTATCCAGCGTGAAGCTAGAAGTTGCCATTATAAATAAATGGAAACATACTATTAATAACAACAAACACAAATCTCCAAGAAAGAGTTTGTTGGCCCCAAGGGTTAAATGACATGTAGTCCTTGCAAAAAGGAAAATGGGAGGTTTCCATCTTGGGAAGTTCCATCTCTGCACATTCCAGGATGGTGCTTGACAAGCTTCCTGCAGTATGTCCTCAACAGGAAAACACTTAAATCTCTCTCCTAAGTCATTGCTCTCCTGAGGGACAAGTTCCACTGAAAAGAAAACCAGCTGATATAAATTGCTGCACCTGACAACTTCCCAAGTGAGGATGGTGGAGTCCATTGTTCTTACATCTCTACCATGTGAAGCATTATCCTGCATTGTTGGGATTAGCTTCTGGCTGGATTTGTGTATGAGTGAGGCCTGTGGCTATTATACTTCACCTGGACTGGTTGGCATTTTCCCAAATGAATAAACATGGAACATTCAAGTGAGCCTCATCTTCAATGTAGGGAAGGTCATATTCAGAATAAGCACAATTAGCAACAGGTCCTTTTATCAGTTTCTAGCTCAATAATTATGCTCACTATAATGAGCTGATTGGAGGGGTCTCTTAGTCACTCCCTGCATGTGAGGAAATATTTTAGATATCAGAGCTACATAAAAGAAAGAGGGTCTGACTCACACCGGCCTACAACTCCAATAGAGGAATAGGACGATGGACAGGTAAGCACACGAGGTAAGATTTGTTAGTTGTGAGCTCTTCTGTAGAAATGAACAGTCAGGATCAAAAAGAACCTTCTCTGAATTTTGTAAATCCCCAGCTTTCGCAACAAGCACCTATTTACTGTGGCCAATTCTGAAAATTAGTGTTTTCCTCAAGTCTCAGTGTTGAGAAAGTGCCCAGAATCTACTGATCTCCACACCTTCACGTACAAACCAAATGCTCTTGCCAAACAAAAACAAAAATGTCTGAATTTGGACCTGAGCAGAAATGTGAAAAATACTCATGTGGACCCTAACTGAAACAAATTTATAATTAGATGGCACACAAATCAGAAAAATAAATATTATAAAGTCTGCCTTTGAGGGGTTTTTCATGCATTAAAAAACGTCATTTTGAACTCAGTGGCTGGCTCTTTGATCACCTCCCCCTGACAGGAGGTGGCCTTACCAGGCCACAGAAGAGGACAATGCATCCAGTCCTGGTGAGACCTGATAGGCTAGGTTTAGAGGGAAGGGGAGGAGGACCTCCCCTATCAGTGGACCTGGGGAGGAGCATGGGAGAAGAAGAGAGAGGGAAAGTGGGATTGGGAGGGGCTACAGCTGGGATATAGAGTGAATAAATTGTAATAAATAAAAAATAAATAAATAAAAGGAAAAACAAAAATCAAAACAACAACAGCAACAAAACCATGTTGCAACTTTTCTGTACCGAGCAGGATATCTATCCACCACGACCCTACAAACTATGTAGCATCACCCCATTTTCCCCAGAAGAAAACATAGGCTTCCTGGGATCATGTTACTCATGGAAAGCTGCCTTTCAGGGCTGTGGTAAGTAGAATAATATAAGCACAAGTTCAAATTTCTGACCCAAACTGTGATCCTTCTGCCGCTTGGCTACAGCATGCCTGATAAACAGGAAGAAAGGTGGGCTTGATCCTCACATGGTCCCTAAGCCGTGAAGCAGGGTGGGGATATACAGAGGACTGCTTGCCTTAGGACAAGCCGCAGACTCTTCTGAATGAGAGGAAGCCCACTGTGCTTCTTCATCTCACCATCCATCCAGAGAAGTCCTGAAGTTCATTCAGGCCTCGCTTCCAGAGGACTCTGGACTCCAGTAGCCTCTGGTGACCTCACCAGCAGCTGACCTCTGAACTCTGTTCTTGGTTGGGTCTTGGGTTGCTCTCGGGAAGGGGTTGGAACACAGACAATGTGTGGACAGAGCTGTGCCTCTCCTCCTGACTCAGAGTGGGTGACAGAATGTGCTGAAGAAGAAGAGGAGGCCTGCTGTTCTGATCTCTGTCTCACATATCAGAAACCAGGCTGTAGACATGATGCGAGTTCCCCTGTCACTCAGCTGGAAGCAGAGCTGCATCCAGAAGCGATGGCTCCAGAACACCACCTACCTCCCTGTACCCCGTCTCCTCTAGCCCAGCCCACAGGCCTTGAAAATTATCAAAGATGCATCAAATCTCAAGCAATGGATGGGACAGCTTGACTGACAGTCTAGTTGTGCAATTCAGTAACCTGGACCACTTCCTATGCTCAATCAACACATGCAGGGCCGACTGTGTGCACTTGTGCACACACATTTATGCACACCCATGAGGCCCTTCAGGAAAGCAAATTTCTAATTATTTTAAACATGTTCTCTGCACCTGGAATGGTGCTAAACATTTTATGTACATATTATTAATCTTCATAACAAGTAGATTGTGCAGTGTAAGTTAACATAAAGGAGAGTGGCTTGCCCAAGGTCACACAGGTGGCAACCGGCAGAGCCAAGATTGCTTCATTTCTTCAGGGAACATTTGCTCATTGCATGTGCTGGCACAGCCCTGAGATACAACAACAAACAAATGAGCCAGGCTCTAATCTCTGCTGTCTCAGAGCTAACATTTGAGGGAAGAAAACAGATAATGAACCAGTAAATTAATAAATGAAGACGACAATCACAATGGCTTTCATTTTCACACAAGGTAGCATGATTTAGGACACCCCTACATGGTCGCATAGACCTGATGTAGGAATGACAAAAGCACAGCTGTGCCAGGATATTCAGCAGAGCCTGCCAGGGGGAAGGGACAACAAGAGTCAAGGTCCACAGAACACAACTGTGTCATTGCACTGAGGTTAGTAAGAAGTCCATTGTCTTCTGGATAAGGGAGCTGGAGGACAGCTCCTATAGAGAAGCTATAGTAGAACATCCACATCCACAGTATACTGGCCCATGAGATATTAGGGTGTTGCCCTGAGTATTATGAGAACCATTCTAATTTGCAATGTCATAACATGACAGTGTTGAAAAAAAATATTCCTTTTCCCTTTTCCAATAAACTTGTCTAACTCTGATTTCCAAAGAGGCAGCAGTCAAAAGGTAAGAAGAGACACATTTCCAAGAGACTACAACGTTGCATGCTGCAATTAGGCTCATTTAGTTTAGACTTGCCTAGGAATGAGGCATTCAGTTAAAAGAAAATATGTCATAGCCTTTTAGCCTACAATAACGATGCACCTTAATTACTTCTGGGAACAGAAGTCTAGCATTACAGTTAAAGACTATACACACAATTAAGACGTGCAGTCTTTCAGTAAACAAGTATTTTCGTTTCCTTTGTGGACAGATAAAGAATGAGATAGGAGAGTTTCAAGCAATGGGTTGGTGCAAACTGAAGCTTTCAAAGGGTCCCTGGATATTTGTGATGAATGATCTGTAGGGCCACTGGCTGTGGGGGTGTGTAGGTAGGATTGATGCCTTTGGATTTTGAGGTCCCTCCCTCTGAAGTCAGAAGTTCCTCTCCACTTAAAGAGATGTCAGCTCAGCGAGGACAAAGGTTGACAAGAACATGTTCAGGGTAGGAAATG